TTCATTCATCTCTTAAATCGTAGGAGGAGGTGGGGCGTGTTTCCTCAGAGAGCTTTAGGGGAAGCTCTCCATTCTCCCCCTCATTCACCTGCACATCAATTCCCCTTTCCCATGTGGCTCAGCCCAGCCACAGGTCCCAGGGGTTAGGATGTGGGCATCTTGCTGGGGGCATTATTCTGCCGACCACACGAGTCTTCTAAGTTTTCTTCCAGAAGTTTTGTTTTACCTTTCACATTTAGGTGTATGATCCATCTCATAATCTTTGTGTATAACGTAATGGAGGGCTCACGGCTCTCTTTTTTCCGTAATATCCACTGACCCAGAGCCATCTACTGAAAAGATCATCCTTTCCCCCACTAAGCTGCAGTGGAGGCTTTGCTGTAAATCAGGTGACCATAGTGTGTGGGGCTTCGGATCCGGGGTACCGAGGTGAATGAATGAATGAATGTTGAACACCAGGCTGGGGCGGGGCGGAGCTCTGCTTTGTAGTGTTTGCTCATTTCCACGGTGTAAATATTCTCACTGCAGCCAATTTCAAGCTACCAACAGGAAGCCAGCGAGCCTGCAACCCACAAAATTTCAGTCGGCTCTGGTGTCCCAGTAAGGGCCGGCACGATCTCAGTGTCATTGGCCCTAATGTTCTCTCTAGTGAAGTCACTTTATGGAGCAAAAGAGCAAGAAAAGAGGATTCTTGACAAAGGGACCTTTACCAGACTGAAGTCCCCCCCCCGCCCCCCCCTTTTTCCTTCCACCAAGTGATGGGGAGTGCCCATTTTGTACCAGACACCAGCTAGGCAGGCGGAATGCAATGGGTGTATGTTCCAGGGAGGAGGTCAGGTATGAATCAGATTATCACCCCAAGCATGTAACTGCACACTCCGCTGAGGGCCATGAAGGGCGCATTTTGGAGAGTAGAGAATGCTCATCTCCCTCTCCTCACGTCTCCACAGAGGGAAGGGCGTCCATCTCTCAGGGAGAAACTGGGGAGTCTCCTGGCCTCTCTCACTCTTCCCTCCCCAGGGAGGAGAGGCACCTGACTGCTCAGTCTGGGAAGGAACTGGGTGGGCTAAGTGGTGTGCTGTCCTCTCTCCACGGAGAGGACCAGCCTCAGGAAACGCTTTGCCCCAGGCGAGGCTCTACCATGAAGTTAATGATGCTCAAGCTTCAGGCCCATCGTGCGCACAGGCCCCGGGGCGGGGCCTTAGCGACGTGTCCACGGTCGTACATTTCTGTACAGTTGACACAGTCAGGTATTTAACTACAGTCCGTTAAGGTCACTATCTCCTCTCACTCCAACGTCTCCGTGTGTCAGGCGACCCTGGGGAGGCCGAGGGCATTTCTGGGATCTGGGTTCAGGCAGGCTGAGCTGAGTTCAGTGGGGATGTTTACATGTGTAGTTGAGGTGTTGCCGGGCAGCCCAGGCACAGACAGCCACACTGCGCCAACTCCCCTGCATCGCGACAGAACACAGGCCAGCGGTCACGACGCAAACGTGTCCTGTGGCGCCCAGCACCAGAAGCGCGCAGCGTCAAGGAGAGCGAGTTCTAGAGTGTACAGAGCCGGAAGCTAGTCCGTGCAGAACCTCCCAGGCATCAGATGCATGAATTTTGAGTAAAGAAATAGTAGAACAAAGTATTACAGACAGGGCTTAGGCGATTCACTGATTTAAAAAATTATTTTATTTTTGGATTTGTGATTTTGTGGAATTCATCAGGTTTTTAAAATATATCATTTGTTCTGATCTCCTCTCACACTCTAAACATATATTCACTTTTATAATTTTTTAATTTTATTCACTTTTTGTGAAGTTCTCCTCCCCAAAAGCACAAGTTCCAGCCCCCACCCCAAGTCTGGGTCTCCCTGCTCCTCCTCCCTTGCAGTGTTTTAGGGGTGCACCCACGGTGGAGGCTTGCAACTGGGGCCACGTCTATGTGGCCGGGTGGACTAGTTTAACTTACGGGGAAAGGTATGAACAAGCCCTTTGTGGCCACAGAGCCAACCTCAGGCCTCCAGTTTGGCTGCATTAGTTATAGAGCTGATATCCAGATCTCTGTCTGTCTGACTGCTTTGCCTATATCTCAGCTGGACAGGAAATGTTATGTAACTCCCTCCCTATCCCAGCAGCAAAATATAAGATACTGAGAACGTCAGAGGAGGGTCTCATCTTGTCCAGGGAGGTGGGGCAAGGAAGGCTCTTGAAGATGAATCCTGTTGTTGAGATGTGAGCAACGGCTAGGAGCTAATGAGGCAATAGGGATGGGAGGAGGGAGGGGTGTTGAAAGCAGAATGAATGTCATGTGCAAAGGCCCAGGGGTAGGCAGGGGCATGGCATGTATGAGACCATGAGAGGAGACAGAGGCTGGTGCTGGGTGAGGGTGAGGGCAACGACTGGGCTGGAGGGGTGGCTGGTACCAGACCTCACAGGGCACTGTGGTCCATGTTAAAGATTTTGCTTTTTCTCCTAAGAGCAAGGGAATATCACTGAAGGCATCAGTCAAGTCTGTGTTTTAGAAAGTGTAGGCAGATTAGAGGAGGGTGGGGCAGGGCAGGAAGGATGAGTTGGAGCAGAGCAGCAAGATCACCAGAGATACTAAGGATGAGACAGACCCAGGCTGCCTGGAGGACTCTAGGAGAGTCTGTTGACCTTATAAACCCCAAAGGCTTCATCCTACGAGCTCAAGCTCAGATCAGAAGGTAAGTTTGCATAAAAGAATTAATTCACTAAACTCGTTATATCATCACTCATGATCCCTTACAATTCCACCTCCTTCCATCACCATAGCAACCACAGCACATAATAGGAACCGGAGAACGTAACTGAGATGGAGGGAGGGCAATTGAGGTGTGTCTTCGGGGTCTCCTTGCTGATCCTCCTCTCCCTGGTTCTGGGCGTGCTATGTTCACACAGCTCAGCCGCGGGCCTGACAGCCCCCATCCGTGTCCCGGTGTCCAGAGCCTGTGCCCGACCACGGCGTCCTGCGGCTTCCAGATATCCACGTTTTATTTTGATCGGCGAGGCAATTCCATTATGAAAGTCACCTCCATGCTCCTGCTCGTAGTCAGAAGAGTCAATTTGTGTGTGATGAAAACAGAAACCATGCACGGTCTTTCTTGAGAATTACATGCCCCAAACTGCCAAGCACAGTCGTTGGGCGGTGAGTGTGGCAAAGGGTCCCATAGCCTGTGACATGTGACATATACCCTAGGGCTAGGAAGCTACCCTAAAGAAACAAAACGATTATCCACGCAGGATTGGTGGAGGCTGAAGCAGCCATCGAGACTGAAGCTGTACCGCCTGCCACCTTTCAGAGATCCTGGTGCTGCCCGGGCATCTGCATTAACCGTACTCATGTCACAAATCAGACATTCCCAACATAGCAGAATTCCCAACATCTGTCTCCAGAACGCCTCTGTGCAGAGGGCCATGTGACAAAAGTGATTTCTATGCAAACCAGGCTCTGAAAATATTGCAGGAAGGAAGCCACAACCTTGTTTCAAGCCTCTGCAGAATAAGGAAATGTTTTATTTCGCCACAAGAGGGAGCCTTTGGTTAACTTGGGAAATCCTGCTGTTGCCCAGTGGGGAATTGAAGATGCTCTGATAGTAAGTATCTTTCACAAATGATGTGACTATTATGGATTACTTCTTCTGTTGAGCAGCTACTCTTTCCTAAGAGAGGCTAATTTAGGTTTTAAGAGGTAAAAATTCAGGCCACCAAAGGTCCAGAAAATCCCCAAGACAGTGGCTCCCAGAGCCTGGCGCCCACTGTGTTCTGGGAATTTGTGGAAATGCTGAGATCTCCATCCCGGACTGCCTGGGGCCGGCACACTTTGATTCCGATCAGTGGATGACACCCCCAGGGGACATCTGGCCATGTCTGGAGATGTTTTCTGTTGTCACAACTGTAGAGTGCTCCTGGCTTCTGGTGGGTAGAGGCCAGGGATGCTGCTAAACATCCCACCATGCACAGGACAGCCCCCACCATCAGAGAAAGAATTATCTCATTCAAAACGTCCAAAGTGCCAAGGCTGAGAATACTTTACTTTGATGAAGGGAAATTTTCTTTCTGGGTGGGAAGGGCCTCTCCTGGCAGTTTGTGTGTGGCTGGTCTGGAAGCTTCTAGACATTCTCACCATCCACTGGGAGAACCAGTGGCCCCAGGAACATTTCTCCTGGGGGCTGGGCTGCTGCCTGGCAGAAGAGCTCATCACCCTTCTCCAGGTAGAGGCCAAAGCCTGGGCAGGGCCTCCTTCCGAGCACTTTAAGAGACTCCAACAGAAGACACTGCTGCACGTCTCATCATGTATTTGTGGGTCCTGAGGTCCCAGGGTGGGTGAGGACAAGCCTGTGGGCCAGGATTCCATGGTCTATGTCAGGGTCACGGGGCCGAGAGACTCAGACCCCCATAGTGACCAGGCCTTGGCTACTGGCTGAGCCAAGGGCCGGGAACGGGTCCTGATGAGAATACCGTGGCACCAACGGCCACGGTGCCTGGGAGAGAGAGAACAGGGTGATGGAAATGGCAGAGAAAAGGCCTCGGGCCCAGAAAACAGCAGCAGCGCCTGGAGACCCCTTCACCGCCCAGCAGAACTTCCCCGAGAGGCTGGAGAGCAGAGGGGCCCCAGGCTGCAGTGAGACAACCTCCCGCCGGGGAAGGCAGGTTCGGGGTGGCGTCAGGTCCCAGTGGGGGTACACAGAGCCAGGAAGGAAGAGACCCCCGAGGAATGCAGCCACGTCTCGAAGCCAAAAGAGCTACAACTCGCAAAGACGTGTTTCTCCCACTGGAGTTTCTGATTTTCTTGGGTGGTGGGGTCCACCATACTCAGGCTTCTCCTGACACTTCTCCATCCATCCTCCCTCCCCCTCACCGCAAGCCTGTGAGGCAGAGGGGACCCCTCCCCCCAGGTGACTGGGTCTCTCTTCACTGTCTCTCATGGCTGAGGGAGCGGCACGTGGCCTTCAGACCAGCTCTCCCCGTTCCGGCCCCGAGGGGCCTTCGACTACAGATTGCTTCTTTTCTTGAGCATCTTCTTGGAGTTCTCGCCGTCAGCAACTTCGCTTTCTTGCTGGCTCAGCCTTTTGCTGCTTAAAACGTGGAAGAAACGCAGCCGGTCAGTACTGTCCAGATGCAATAACTCATCCCATCTGATCGAAATAATTCTCATTTTGACCTGGGTTATTAAGAAATGAGTAAAACTCCCCGTTTCTCTCTGTTTGGTGGGAGGTCATCGAGTGCCCCTGGGAAAAGGACCGCATGCATGCTCAGGGGACTGAGGGCCCAGGACAGATCCACCCCATTGCAAACCTCAAGGCGTCTGTGGCCAGCGGCCAGCCCTGGTGGTGCTGGCGGGCGTGGAGGGAGGTCGTGGCCGATTTGGCCAAACGGGCCGCTAATAACAGCAGTGACAGTAACACCGACACTTCCCCTACGGTCCATCACGTCTCAGACCCTCAGGGGAACCTCCTGAGGGAGCTGCTCCTCTCCCGCCCAGACATTAGGGGGTCAATAAACACCCACAGGCAGTAAGCTGGGGACCCCGCGGTACCTCAGTGATCCCGAGGGGTGGCCTCCGGAGGCAGGGTCGTCGTCATTGGGCCCCCCGGGGTCCCCTCTCTCCCGGGGCGGGGGCTTCTTCCTTTTGGTCCTTACGGGCTTCTCTGCAGAAAACACAAACCCACACACCGGCTCTGTGACTTTAGGGAGGTGACAGCTTCTCTCAGCCTCCCCCCAACCCAGCCTGACATTTGAGTGCCTCTGTGGGCCGAGTATGTACTTGGCGCCTCACTGCTATTATACCCATTTAACGTGGAAGGAAACTGAGGCCGGGGGGGTGAAGTGCTTCCCCAAGCCCACACAGCCGGTACATGGTAGAACTGGGATTCCAACTCGGGTCGTCCGGCCCCCCTGTGTTTCTACCGCACCCAGCTGACGTGCAGACTCCGAACAGTGAGAACACAGCACCAGGACCGAAGCTTTTATTTTAATAGACCTCCGTATCTTTACACACCTTCTCGTCACTATCCCCTTAGCAGGTACAACACAGGCCGGGGGGAGGTGAGCTAATTATCCCCATTTTACAGATGAGGAAACAGAGTCAAGAAGAGACACAGTGAGTGAGCGGCAGACCCGGGAATCGGGATTACTGAATGTTGGCGGCAAGAGGGCCCAAGGGGCATCCCAACTGAGCCTGCTCATTTACAGACAAGGACACAAGAGCCCAGAGAGGTTAAGTATGGTACCTAAGGCCACACAGCTGGTTAGTGGTGCACGTGGGACTAGAACGCACATTCCCAGCCCAGAGAGCCTCCCGCGGCGGCGCACCAGCCTCCGTGACTTACCTGACGGTCCGCGCTTATTCGAGAACAGTTTGCTTTCAGCCAGGGGCACCCGGGCCAATGCCGCCAGCTCGGAGATGAAGCTCTGCTGGGCTTCCTGAACACAGAGAGAGGATCAGCGGGGCCTCCCTCTGCCCTTCTCGACCCTCTAAATCCTCCTCCACCAGAACGCAGTCCCCGCCTGGAGGAGGATCCTCCGAGAAGCATCCCAGGGAGGTCAGGAGCAGGGCGGAGGCACGTGCGGGGGAGGGAGCTGCCATTTCCCAGCTCCTGCCAGATAACCTCCCTCACTCACACCAGCCGTGAGTCCCATTTACAGATGAGAACACAGAGGTGAGAGGGCTCGGGGACGGCCAGGGGGCAGCAGAAGCAGGCTCTGACCCTGACACTTCTGCCTGACTCCAGAGTCTGAGTTCTCAACTGCCAACACCCCGGTTTAACCAGACAGACCTGGAGTCCATGACTTATTGACCGTGTGACACTGGAGAGTGACTCAACCTCTCAGAGCCTCAGTTTCCCCATCTGTAATTGGGACAGTAATAGTAGCCTCTTCCTCCGTTGTTGGAGGATGACATTAGATGTGTGTGTAGAGCTCTCAGCTCAGTGACTGTCTATAATAGACACTCCATTAATACGTGTTAGTCACCACTACTGTCATTCTTATCATCGTCACTGCTCTTACTGCCACACTGCTGGTGACTACGCTGAGGGGCCAACACCGTTAAGTGCTTCCATTCTGGCATATCTGACGTTTTTTACGGCAGCCACTTTGCTTTATAGCCACACCTCACAATCGCACACTGATGGGATGGTTCTGTGATGAAACATCCACTTCCTATTGTGAGAGCTGAGCTTCCCGTATGTTCTAGATAAAGTGCACACCTCAGGCGCAGCAACGCTGCCTAAACAACAGCGAAGTCAGCCCCAGCACGGAGAGGCGATGCTGAGAAGCCCCCGTGGTGGTGACATGCACACAGGGAGATGCTCATTTCTCTTTCGGCTCGATGGACATAAGCTGGCCCCAAGCTGGGGACTACAGACATGCAGGGACTCAACACAGCCCCGCCGGCCTCAAGGCTCACAGCTCCGTGGCGAGGATGACGTGTCATGTCAGAGTGAGACTCAGCGGGGGCAGAGGAGGGCCCGAGCAGGGGCGTGCAGTCCCCTCACGAAGGACCCACTGCCAACCTGTGATCTCAAGGCTGCTCTTTTGTTGTTTCCACTCCTCCTTAAACCACTGCCTGCTTTGTGAAGGCCCATTTCTGAGACTCGTACCTGGAGCTGGGTCTCCAGCTGGGCTTCCAGATGGTCCACAACTCTCGCCTTCTGCTTCCGAGCGTCCAGGCGGATCTGCTGGTGCACGGTGAACTGGGCCAGGAACTTTTTCTGCTGCGCCAACATCCTGGCAGGAGGAGTGAAGGCCGTCAATGCTGCCCCAGCCGGCAGGTTCATCAGGGACCCAGCACAAACCTTTCCCAAGGGCCTGCTGAGTCGTGGGAACTGGTGACACACAGCCGTCCTTGAACACTTATAGCCACGAGAGAAGGACGGCCATCGTGGGCACGGTTTACTGTGGCCCCACGCGCTGTGGACAAGCTGGAGGCCCCACCAGCTGGACGACTCATCATAAAGTGGACACCGTTTGATTAACACTTGGGGGTTTACGGAATCTGGAACACATGCTTTTCACTTGATCCTCAGAGTGGCTTAGTGACATTAGCAGGACAGAGAGGAGAAAAGTCAGGGCAGGAGGAGCTCTGAGGGGCGGCGTCCCTGAGGTCCCACAGCGGCAAAGTGGTTGAGCAGCAAGTGGCACCTTCATATGAGAAAACAATCTTAACAGTCGGGGGACAGTCTCCTGGAAGGACCATCCTTATTGAAACTTTCAGAACCGCCCGAGCCCCTCCCTCCCGGCTGGAATAGAAGGCTCAAAATTCTACGGCAGTTGGGACTTTGCAGGCCTGACTGGGGTCTCAAACTCTAAGATTTGGAGATTTTCCTGGATTGTCCGGGTGGGTCTCCACCACTGGAGCCCCCAAAGCAGAGAAGTTTCTCCAGCTAGAGTGGGAGACGTGCGGCAGAAGAGGCAGGCGGAGGAGAATCCAAGAGTGAGGGGACCGGACGCGCCCTGGCCGGTTCTCAGATGCAGGGGCCACGTGCAGGGCCAGAGAGAGGCCTCCAGGAGGTGGAGGCGGCCCCCGCTGACAGTCACAAGGAAACAGGACCTCATGTCTACCAGGAACTGGATCTGCCAACAACTGAGCAAGCCTGGAAAGATTCTTCACAGAGCCTCCCGTGAGAGCCTGCCCACTCACACCTCGACTTCAGCCGCGTGAGACCAGAGAAGCCAGCAGCGCCCGCCTGGCCCTCTGACCTGCAGAACTGCGAGGTCACACGCCTGTGTGGCGTGTGGCCGGTGGTTGTCATGGTGCCTCACTTCCCTGCTCCCTCACTGTGCTTCCTGGGTACCCCCCCAGTGAACAACCTGCCCCCACTCCCCATGTCAGGGTCTGCTTCCAGGGGAACCCAAAGAGCAGATGAGACAAGAGGTGCCAGGTCAGGGCTGTGAACACCACTGAGAGCTGGAAAGGGAGCCACCACACCATGACTCGCCCGTCCCCTTGTGTCAGGTGCTGTTCTAGGGGCCGCGGGTAGAGCAGTGGCCGGACAGAGGCTCGTGGGCCTCCAGGCTGGTTGGGGAGGCAGACGAATGCACGAAATGTCAGATGCTGAATGAACCAGAGAATCACGGGCAGTGCAGGGCCGAGCACGCCCCCTTGTGGGGGCGCACCGACAGAGTGGGGACCTCACCTCTGGTGCACAGCTTGGCAGGTTTCACGGGCTCCACCCGCCAGCTCGCCCTCCGATGAAGGGTCTCTGAGTTCTTGCTTTTTCCGCAGCCTGTAGTTTTCCATTCTCTCACCTAGACCATTTAAGACACAACGATCAAGGTGTGTCTGAAGGATCGCCTCCGTGCCAGGTGTGCAGCGGGGCACGCAGGTCGGTGGGACACACCTGCTCTCAGAGTGCGCCACTTCACAGCCCCCGTGGTCCACCCGGGGAGGGCTCGTGTGCGTGAGGAGGCCGCGCCTTCCATCCCAGACCGGGCATCCCCAGAGGAAGGAACCCGGGCCCTCCCTCCAGTGCTCAGCCCCCGCCTTCTGGAACACCAGGAGAAAGGGGAGGCGCATAAGAAAGATTGACACGCAGAGGTCACCACCAATAGCTAAAAATCCACACCAGAAAGGAAAATCGACTGAACACACAGTGCTGTAGGTGTGCAGTTAGCTGTACAGATGTGAGTGCAGGAATACGCGCTTCCCACGGAGCTAGGAAGTTGGGCCTCTGAAGTCGAGGTGCACTGGAGTGCACATCAGAACACGCTTACACTTACAGCGGCCACACTCACCTAGTAACACTTACCTAGATACATGTGACCAGCTGTTACACGTACCTAGCTGCCACACTTAACTAGCTGTGAGACACGCAACGGGCCACTGACCTCGCTGGACCCAGTTTTCCAGCACTGACAGAGAGGCTTAACCTGGCTGAGCCCTAGGGGCACGACCTTCTCTGACTCCTAAACAAACAAGAGTTGACCAATTGCAGAAAAACGAGGCCATGTGGTCAATTAGATGCATCATCTCAATGCATTTACTGGGAAATTCTCACATTAGAGTCAGGGTACCAGGGAAGCAGGAGATCAGAGCCGAGAGGATACAGAGGGGGACGCCAACCTGAGGGTCCAAAGTCCCCAGGACGAGGGGCAGATGAAGGGGGCCCTGAGCTCACTGAGAGGAATAGTCACAGAAGACAGCCCCCAGGACCTGCTGCCCATCCACTCATCTAGGGATCAATTCGAGCTCTGATCCTGGGACAATCAGGCAACGCCCATCAGAGAATGCGGGATTCCACCCTGTTCTGAAGCCCCGGGTGCAGGGAAGGACGTGAGCAAAGGCCTTCAAGAAACTGGGTTTGTCTGTTATCACACGATGTTATTGCTGGCCTCGGGGGTACTGTCCATTCCGTCACTTGGGTGGCCTCTTGTGAGAGCCCACGGGGGGAAATTCTCTGGGTCCAGGGACTCTGGCCTGTTCTTACTCACGGTCCCTACAACAGCTTTATTGAGGAAGTTTCCATCCCTTTGGCCACCAGGAAGCCCAGAGCCAAAGCCATGTGGCCAGTGAGTAGGGATCTGATGGCCTATGTCCCAGACAGTGACCTCACCCTAACTCCATCTCGTTGTCCTCGCCCTGCCCTGATTCACCTACTTAAAAAAATCCTATTCTACTGTATGTACATGGTTCTTTAGGGGCCTTTTAAAAAGCCTTTTTGGGACCAAGCAGGGGATAAATAAATACATAAACATTAAGAACATTCAATTCCCAAAAATAAAATTTGAAAGACCTGACATCCCATTCTGCCCCAAACTAAGAGCACACTTGGCTCGTCACGCGGGGGGCTTCCCAGGGAGGGTGCCGCACCCTGTAGGGTCTTCAGATGCTGCAGTCTTCTCTCCTCGTGGTCCCGCACGACCCTTCCGATCTGCTGGTAATACGCCTGCACGAGCCGGCCGACGCCCGCACCGGTCACATAGACGCTCTCCACAGCCGCCTCCAGCAGCGTCCTCTGTGGGCCGGAGGGAAAGACTCAGCAGAGAAGACCCCCACGGTCCCCACCTCCTCTGCCCTGGTTCCTATCTTCCGCCCACCCCCACCTCGACTGGTCAGGGAGAAGGCAGAAAGTGTGTGGTTGGTTTAAATCAGTCTCAATCCTCTTATTTTTCTTGGTCAGGGATGGTCTAGGGCTGGCTGAATGATGCATTCTGGCCAATAAGATGCAATATTAGGGCAAGTCTGCTGGGGTGGGGGTGGAAGACTTCCCTTTCCAAACATTAAAGCAAAGCCTCGGTGCCTTGAAAGACTTGAAAGCTGATGAAAGACTTTGCTGTTTCCCTCTTCCTGCCTGGAATGCAGACTTGATGTCTGGAGGGGTAGTGGCCATTTTGAGACTATGAGGTAACAAACTAACACCAACTAACACCTGGTCCTTGGTCACAACACAGAACCTCTGTGCCAGCCTGGAACCACCTGCCTCCATATTTCTTGTTATGTAGGATGAGTAACTTCTCTTTATTTGCCATTTTAGTAGGCTTTCTGTTACTTGCAGTTATTTGCATTCCTCAATGATATACCTTCAGACCCAAAGCAGAAAAGAGAGGAAACGCTGTGATGCCCCATCCTCAGGGACGTGTTGGTTGTGCACTAGCAAAGTCACCATCTTTTCCTTCATAAGATGATGGGCAAAAGTCAGACTCAAGAGCCCCCATTTCAGCAAACATTTATTGAGTGGTTCCAGACTTTGGGCAAGAAAAAATACCCATTTATTACTGGGTGATTATTGTTGAGTGTTGGTTAGGTTCCGGGGGCTGTGCTATTCACTTATGCCCACAGCACCCACCAAAATCATGTGCCCTGATTTTGCAGGGTTGGACGGAGGCTGTGGGGGTGAGGGGGTGTGCAGCCCAGGGTAGCAGAGCAGGTGTGAGCTTGTCCTAGAACTCTCAAGTCCTGCTCATCCCTCACTGTGGCCGGTTCTCTCTCCTCCTCTGCCCTACTTCTGCATCCGCAGAGGGGCTCCGACTCCACGCTTCTGAGGACTCTGGGCTCTGGCCCTGCGCTTCCAGGCAGGAGCCCCCACTGATGGCCACTGGCCTTCTTTGAACTTCATTTAGGACATGGAGCCAGGAGACCAGAACGCCCCCTTCTCCCCCCTCAAGTCCGCAAACCCCCCTGTACCTTCTGTCCGTCTGTCTGTCCTCCTGCCACAGTGGAGCACTGTCTACCTCCCTCTGTGCCCCACCCTCCTTCCCTCTGCACGGCCTCTGGTCTGGCCACGCTTCTCTCCTCCGCATCAGTTTTTCCAGCTGGTGTTCCATTCCCACCAGCAAACACACTCGCTCGAGTGTCTCTGATTTTTCAACCCTCTCTTGATCCCCCTTCAGGCTCTGCCTGTCTCTGCTCCCCGTCAGGAAACTTCCCAACGATCTCTGTGGCCCCTTCTCCAGCATCGCTCGCCCCTCCGTCAGATCGTGAGTCCCACAAGGGCAGAAACCTGCCCACCTGGTTCCCGCTCTACCCCAGCACCTGCCACAGGGCCCAGGCCGAAGCCCTGCGAGCAGAGGTGACTAAATGAACATTCTCCCAGAAACTGAGCACATCTTCTCTCTTGTAGGTGTGTGCGGCACAAGTTAAGTAATCCTGACTCAGAGTCCCTGGGGAAACTGGGGACAAAATACGCCGTGCACATATTTCACTCCATTTTCACGCAACGAGCACTGATCCCGTAAGACTTGTGGAATTTTCAGGAAAGGAGGCGACCTTCCCCAAGTCACAAGCCAGGCACAGCCCTGACATCCGGATGAGCAGACGTGAGATGTGTGGAAGGAGGCGGGGTGTCGCAGAAATGTGGGTGCCATCTCTTTGCTGTGCAGATAAGTCAAGTGACTTTATCTAAACGAAAGAGCTCATGAAGGGTGTCCAGACCTGCCCTGGCACATCCCAGCGCGGGCCTGCTGCTGGCTGCAGGTCTGCAGCACCGCGCCTGTGTGCCGGCCACGCACGCTCTCTCCACGGCCGTCTGCAGCAAGCAGGTGTCTCGCCTTTGCTACGGCTCCAGGGGGAGACAGCCAAGGAGGAGCAGAGCGAGCGCTGGCCACGCCGGGCAAGCCCGGCCCCAGCCGCAGCTCTGCCACTCAGCAAAGCTGCGAGGCGTTAAACGTGCCTTTGCCCGGTGATAAGCCTCAGTTTTCCCACCTGAACACAGGGAAGAAAGACTATCCTATCGTGCAAGGGCTGTGGAGAGAACCGGGTGAGGAAGGAGGATGAAAGTGTGCGTGCAGACTTGGAAGGGCAAGGCTGATGGTTGTATTTTTACCCTATGGTTCATCATCGCTGTCAATCACGGAGTAAACCACCACCTACGCAAGTCAACCTAGTTTAGGTGCTGAGCTCAGCCGTCAGGGTCAGCTCCGCAAAGCCTCAGGTCCCCGCAGAGGCGGCCAGGGGCAGGGAAGCGCCCACTCCTCTCTGGGACGGGGGCTTCGGTTCAGATCCTGCATCTGCCACTGACCAGCCGGGCAGCTCTGGGTGAGACCACGTCCCTCTCAGAGCGGCTGTAAGGACCGAGCTGGTGCTCAGAATGAGGCGACACGGGGCCTCACACCTCACCACTCTGTGAGGGAGGCGACCCCCTCGTTTGGATGCGGAGGAGGCTCGGAGAAGCCCGGGATCTCTGCAAGGCTGGAAGCTCCCAGAAAGGGCGCGGCCAGGACCAGCGCCCGAGGCTGCTGCTCTGTGCAAACCCCTCCTCTGCCCCCGCCCACCCCAACCCAGACCCTCCGGCCCTCGGCTTCCGGGACAGGGTTGGCACGCACCTTGAAGTCATCCCTGTCCCTGGCCCGGCTCTTGGTGGCCGCGTTCCGTGCGTGCGCCAGCAGCGCCTGCCCGATGGCTCGCTCCGTGTGCTGCTGCAGGAGCTGCCCGACCTCCTGGGCCTCGGCCAGGAGCTGCTGCTGGAGCTGCAGGCGCGTCTGCTGCGCCTCCTCCTCCAGCCTGCCGGCCTCCTCCAGGACACGCGCCTCCTGAAGGGGACGGGGCAGGGACAGGAAGGAGCCCACGCTGGAGCCCTGCACAGAAGCCCAGGACCAGGACCAGGACCAGGATGCAGGGTCGGCCCTGCCCGGGGCCCCGGGAGGGCTGGGGAGGGGATGGACAAGGGGCAGAAAGTGGTGGCCTCTGGGCTTGCAAAAACCAACACAAAATGGATAAGCCTGGGTGTCTGATGAAGACACCCACAAGGGACTTATTGAGCACTAACTTCGTGCCCGGTGCCATGTGTGGCCTCTCACATGTACAAGGCCTTCCTCACTCTTCCAGGACACTGTGAGGCCTGAACACTAGGAGTGCTGAGGACACAGAGGCTCAGAGATGTTGAGCAACTTTCTAAAAGTCACACAGCAGAGCTGGGTTTTGAAGCCAGATCTGAGTCTGAGAGTAGTCTGGGACATCATGGAAGCAAAGGCAGGGCATATGGGACCCTGGGGACTGCCTTTCTTGTAGGAATAAGAGTTGGAGAAGGAGGTGAGGGGAGTCAGAGGTAGGGCAGCAAGTCCTGCCGGCTTCCCACCGAGCTCTCCTGGGCACTCACTCTCTGAAAGAGACTGTGAGCCTGTCCCTCACTAATGGGTCAAAAACATCAGGGGCTCCTATAGCTCAGTGGCTACCTGAGACCTGGAGTCAGCCCGCTTGGGTTTAAATCCCAGGTCTGCAATTTACAAATTCTTTATTTCAATTGTCAAAATCTTAAAACAGATTACAGAGCCCTTTTCTCCCAACTGCCTGATGACGACTGTACCCATCCGCGCTCTGAGTTCATACGCATTTTTAGCACAATTTTCATTACAGCGTACGCTAGAGCTTTTGGCACATTGGGTGCCCCCCTACAGGGGGCTGCCACTGTCCCCACCCCACCCCAGCAACAGGGGTGGCAGGATCTGGGTTTTGGCAAACGTGGCTGAACCTGGAACCCGATGAGGTGGCACCGCCTGTCTTGGCCCTGCTGGGGGCTGACGCACAATCTTACCAAGGCTCTGAGCAGCTGCCACTGATGCTCGTCCAGACACTGCGAGGAGCCCTGCTCCAGGGCGTGCTGCTCACGCACCTCCTGGAGAAGGCTCCTCTTCCCGGACAGCCTCATCTGGGTCAGGGTGGTGATGGCGCTGCCGCGGAGAGCCAGCCTCCGGAGGGCTGAGCGCAGGAGCAGGCCGTGCCCCTGCAGGATGCACCGCACGGACCTTTGGGGCAAGTGGGTAGGGGCTGGGGGTCAATGCTCTTGCCTTCACTGAATGTGATGGTTAATTTTATGTATTAACTTGACTGGGCCATGGGGTGCCTGATCATCTGACAAACATTATTCTGGATGTTTCTGTGAGGGTGTTTCTGGATGAGATCAACATTTAAATCTGTGGACTGAGTAAAGCAGACTGCTCTTCCTAATGTGGGTGGGCCTCATACAATCAGTTGAAGGCCTGAAGAGAAGAAAAGGCTGACTCTCCCACAAGTAAGAGAGAATTCCTCCTGTCTGACTGCCTTGAGCTGAGGCATTATTTTTATTCCTGCTTTTGGACTTGAACTGAAACACTGGCTCTTTCTGGGTCGTGAGACTGCTGGCTTTCAGGTTGGAGCTTACACCATCAGCTCTCTTGGTTCTCAGGCCTTCAGACTTGGGGCTGGAACCACACATGGGCTCTCCTGGGTCTCCAACTTGCCTATATAGATATATTTTCACACACACATCCTATTGGTTCTGTTTCTCCGGAGAGCCTTGCCTAATACACTGAGCTACCAGTAAACACTCCAGATAGTCACGCCCCACACAGAGCCCTTCCAGAGGAGGTAGGTCGGAATTATCCCATCCTCTGCTGCCCGTCCTCTTAGACACGGGTGCTTGCCAGGGTTACATTCAGCCATCTGTTCTTTATTAATCTTTTTAACTTGGTCACATCCTGCCCCAAGTTTCAGATGCATACATGCAGCTGCCTTTGGCACACATCCACTCGAATTTCTTACATAACGCTCAAAATTGGCACAGCCAAAACTGATATTGGGAGATATTTTTGAGTTCCTATCTTAGTGACTCGAGTAGAAGCACCTCAGTGTACCAGAGAGGCCCGTCATTTGGTTTTCTAAATTGAGGTATTTGCTGACAGCCTGAAAAGCTGAACAGAGCATTGGCAGTCAGCCCACCAAGGAGGAGAGACCTGGTAAACACTCCGGGCTTTCAGGTGAGGGCCCGCGCCCTAAGAATAAGGAATCATCCCTCACAAAGGCCTAATTTTGGATCAGTTAAATTCACAAACGGAGTAGCTGATCTGCCTGAAATCTCTGCCAGAAGTCAGAGAAATCCTCTCTGGAGGAAGAGCATCATTCAAAGTCTTAAGTTACCTCTACGACTTTCAGTCACAGTGTCCAGCATTCAATAAAACCAACCAGACAAGAATTGACGAAAAACCAAGAGAAAAAACAGACAATAGAAACATACACACAAGATATTAGATATTGGAATAATCAGACATGAACTTTAAAATAGTTATGAATATATTTAAGAAATTAAATGATAAGATGAAGAATTTCAGCAGATAACTGAACACTCTGAAAAGAACCAAATGGAAATTCTAGAACTGAAGACAGAGCAACCAACATTAAGAACTCAGTAGATGGATTTACAGCAGACGAGACGTAGCTGGGAAAGTGTGAACTCAAGAGAGCTCAAAATAAATATCTAGACTGAACCACAGAAAACAAAAGAATGAAAAATACAAAACAGCATGTAAGAGACATACAGGATAAGGTGAAAAGTTCTAATAAATGTGTAATTGGAGCCCCAGAAAGAGTAGGGAAAGAATGGGCAGAAGGAATATTTAAAAAAATAATGGCTGAGAATTTTAAAAAACTGATGAAAGATAGAGAATCACAGATCCAAGAAGCACGACAGATTTGTTAAACAAACAAACAAAATATACACACAAAAACCACATACAGGTTTAGGCATATTGTAATAAACTGATAAAAACTAAAGGAAAAAAAAGAAAATCTTAAAAGCAGCCAAAAACAATTGAAATCAGAAGACAAAAGATTATCTTTAAAAGCATTCTAAAAGTAACAACCAAACTAGGATTCCATATCCAATGAAAATATTCCTCAAAAATGAAGATGAGATAGACATTTTCAATCAAACAAAACCTAAGAGAATTTGTCACTAGCAGATCAGAAATAAAGAGAACCTCAGGCAAAGGAACATCATCCCAGATGGAAGCTTAAAAGTACAGGAAAGAATCAAGAGCAACAGAGTAAATATGTGAGTAAACCTAAATGAATACTGACGACATAAAACAATAATGTCTCATGGGGTTGAAAATATATAGAGAAGTAAAACATACAATGAGAAAAGCATAATCCTAGGGAGGAATAAATGCAACTAAGGTGTTCTAAGGTATTTGCAGTGTCCAGGAAGAAGGACTGTATTAATGTATATTAGATTTTGACAAGTCAAGGATACAATTCGAAATCTCTGAACCACTAAAGGCATAGTAAAATAATATATAACAAGCCAGAAGAGAGATAAAATAGAATAATAAAATGACACTTTATCCAAAAGAAGGAAGAAAGGAGAGAAAAAGAGATATAGAGCAGGTGGGACAAACATAAAACAAACAGTAAGATGATAGATTTAAAACCCTAGTATATCAGCATTAGAGTTTACATTAAACATAAATGGACTAAATATTAGTACAATTAAAAGGCACAGGTTTTCAGGCTAACAAGTCCCCCAGTTGCTCACTATTGTCCTCAGCATGGCTCACCAGATTTTCCCTGTTCCCGCCCTGCTTATGCGTCCACCTCCTCCTGGCGCTCCCCCGAATGACCCAATAGTACAGCTATCCACCTGCTTACTGATGTACACACAAACTAGTTTCCTGGAAAATGCTGGGCAACTACAAAAATCGTTCTATCAAAATAGTTTTCCTCATATGAAATAAGGAAAAAGAAATATTTTTCATCAAATAGAAAAAACTATACTATACTTATAGCAAAAATATAAAAAAATATATAATAATTTATTAATAAATGGGGATTGACTGAAAATGGGCACAAGGGGTCTTTTGGGCATGAGGGAAATGTTCTAAATCTGGATCATGGTGATAAGTGTAGAACTCTGTAAATTTGCTAAAAATCATTGAATTGTATACTTAATGTATGTAAATTATACCTTAAAAAGAGGTGTTAAAAAAAGTTCCTATGAAAGCTCTACAAAGTAGGTATTATTAACCCCATTTTATAGATGAGGAAATCGAGGCTAAGATATGCTAAGTCATTTGCCCAGATCAATTCTGACTCCAAGCCTTTATCCATGGCACTCTGTTATCACCCTGCTCCACATTAATATTTACAACTTGGTTGCTCTCAAAACCACAGTGTAAGAGGCAGGGGGCAGTTAATGTGTCTACCTTACAGATGAAGACACTGAAGCGAGCACGGAGCATCACACAGGACACAAGGCCCCGACCCTTCAGAAAGGTGTACTCACTCTTCACTGAGGCCTCCAAGTCGGCCCAAGACCTGGTGGAGGATGTTCTCGTGGTCGTTCCGCAGGTGTGTCTGCAGCACAGTGGACAGAGTGAGCTCCTCCATCCACACCTAAACCCCAGGACAGAGGGACAAGGGTCAGCTCATTTTGTCCATCATTGCTTTGTTGGAACATGCCTTTTGTTTCTTGTTAAAAAAATCCCTTTCTCCCTTGATTTCATTAAAATTTTCTCCTAAAGATTTAAAAATTGTTCTATTTGCATTTACATTTTAAGGCATTTAATTTTTATTTTCTGTGGCATGAGGAAGGGATCTAATTTTCTCTGGACAAATGGATACTAATTGTCCCAGCACCCTTTATGAGATAATTTATCTTTTTCTGACTGGCCTCTCATGCCACTCCATCTTACATAGTTTCCATAGATAAACGCACCTCATTGCAGGCTCTCTCTATTATTCTGTGGGTCTGTCTATTTCTGCACCAATACCACATTGCTTTAACGGCTGCCATTTGTAGCAAAACTTCACAGCTGCTAGGGCCAGCCCTCCCGTATTCTCTTGTACAAAACTGTCTTAGCTATTCTCGGTTTCTCTTCCTTTCATATGAGTTTTGGGATCAGTTTATCAAGCTTGGGAGGACAGCTTTTTTGGATTTTCGTGTAATTTGATTGAATTAAATTGATTAATTTGGAGAGAACAACCTTTTTTCTAAATTTGGATTTCCCATCCAAGAACACAGCATTTCTCTCAAGTCTGACTCTATGCCTTTAATAATAACATTTTATAAACTTCTCCATTGAGCTCTCCACACAGGTTGGTCAGATTCATGTCTAGGCACCTACAGCTTTTGTTCTGAAGAGGATCTTTCTGTATGTTCTCACTGGGCATTGCTGGTATGTCAGAAATCCACCGAGTTGTATCCAGCAAGCTTGCTGAGCAATCTTAATAGCTGTAATAGTCTGTCTGTAGATTGTTTTGGCTTTTCAGTGGAGACATTCACATCGTCCACAACAATTCTATGTAGGAGCATCAGATCATCCTTCTTGATTGTGTTGTTCAGATCTTCTTTTTATGGTCTGATTGGTCTATCATTTTCTGTGAGATGGGGTGCTAGCATCTTCCATCATGATTTCAACTTGTTCATTTTTCCTTTTAATTCTGTCAAATTTGCTTTATATATTTCGAGGCTAAGTTGTGTCTTCCTGAGGCATTGTTCCTTTACATTATCTAATGAGCCTCTCTACCCCTAAAGAAGGCCTTCTGCCTAGTGGATAGTTGGTCTGATGTCGGTACTATGCACCACCTTTCTTTCCGTGAGTATTGGCCTGGTATAGAACCTTTGGTGTCATGATGCTCTAGGCCAGTCTCTTGTGACACCACACGGCTGGGGGAATGTTCTTCTGCAATCTACGTGACCCTGTTCCTATTCGCTGTGACTAGTGGTAGACTAGGGTCACGTCTACCTCCTTATCTTGTGTTTTCTAGCTGCCGGGCTTTTTCTTTGCATTGTTTCTCCTTATTTCTACCTCTTATCAGATGGATCGAGTCGTCTTGTTCCAGTTTCTTCTTCTCTAACTTGGACGTCATCTATTCTGCTTAGTTACCTCCCTGGGTCAGGCACTCCAGTTAGAGGCCACCAGGACTCCCCTGCGGCTGAACAAGTTGGGCTGTCACTCAGAGTCGCGAGGGAGAAGGTGTGCCAGGGGACCCATGGGGTGAGTTAGAAAGGCCTGATTGTAGGATTTAGGCTGTGGGAGGTGATTGTGGGGAGGGTCCAAGGAAGCCGGGCTTTGTTCTGGACTGGGTGTTGCCAGGAAGCAAGAGTCATGACTGGGCATCTCAACAAATCTCGCCTAGAAGGAGGAGAGATTCAGCGAGGCTTTAGCTGTCATTGCTAAAGCAGCAGCCCTCACACCTCAGCCAGGAGCGGGGCACGTTGGGTCATCTTTGTGGCTGAGACAGTGTCCGTGTGTTATCTGTGTTCGGGCGTAGTTACAGGGTGGTCTCACTCGTGTGTCCATCCTTCGCGGTCACAGAGCGGCCTTGTCCGATGTTCATGCTCTGTGTCACGGTTCAACAGGAGAACGCCCAGGCCGGCTCCTGGGTGCAAGGGGCAATTCTTTTCCTTTTCAAGTGGTAGCTCTTCATTTCTAGGTTGCATACTCCACTTGTAAGTATAAAGTTAATCCTTCTTCCCTCCAGGACAGGAGGAGAAATACAATTCCAACCGTCTCCCCACCTCCTGTCATAGTGCCCTCTGTCATTTGGGTTCTATCGTATTTTCCAAACTCCTCATTTTTTGAACCATCAATGTTCCTTTAGTCAATATTATTTCTTATTTTATTCCCTTTTGTTCTCCTCTACTGCTTTGAAAGTTATATATTCTATTTCTATTCCTTCAGCGGTTTAAAATTTTTAACACACATTCCTGACCCCACAGAACCTAAAGTTAATGAACATCTCCTTTACCTTAGGATTCATGTCTGTTACCAATTCTGAAAATCTCTTACCCGTTATCACTTTGAGTATTATCTCTCCTTCATTCTCTCTATTCCTTTCTTCTAGAATTCCCACAAGACTATAAGAAACTTCCTATGGGACTTTCTCATTCTGTTCTCCATGTCTCTTAACCTCTTTCTTTAGCTCTCGCACTGTATTCTGGACCACTTTCTCCCATTTATCTTCTAGTTCACACGGTTTCTTCAGCCATATTTAATCTGCTGTTTAACTCATCCATTACATTTCTGTTTTCATGACTATAATTTTCATTCATAAAAGTCTATGGCTTTTCGTCTGTCATCCTTTTTCATCATGTCTTGTTCTTATGGATATTAAATTCCTTCTGTTATGCTTTTTATTGTTTTAAACATACTTCCTTTATAAGTGCTTTCTAATAGTCTCTTCATCTGAATTTCTTGGTCCTTGTTGTGGTCTAAACTCCATACTTACTGTATGTGCTGACTGTCACTTATGGTGGAATGTTCCTTGTGTGTTTCATAATTTTGAATTTAGCTCATCTTCAATGTGGCTTTATCTGTGAAAATCCTGTGAGGTCCAAGGCCACACGGCTAATAAATAAAAAAAAACCGTGGGGAAAGGACTCAAACCTAGGTCTGTCTGTCTCCTCAGCTCAAATCTTTTCTGACTCCACCAGGCTCCTCCCTGACTGTCTCATGTCTCCAGGAGAACATGCACCTGGCTCAGCCAGACCCAGTTGCAACCAAGGACTCTATCGTTTAGGTGAGTCCTTCACTTTTCCTCATCTGTAGCTTTTCAAAGGGCTCTACCTCCAGCAGCCTGGAGATGGTGCATGCTGCATGCGGAATCTGGACAAAACACTGAGGCCTGGATGTAAGTGGGCAGCCCGGACTTCAGTTCCCCTGGTGGTTGTGATTCCTAACAGTTGTACTTAATCTCACTAAATTACATTGTGTTACCCATAACTTTTTGCTAAATTCAGTCTCTGACTCCTCTGGGGAGAAGTCTACAATAACTTGTCAAAGTGCTTGGAACACCAGAACATTCTAGAAAATTCTACACAGTCTTGACTCTCTAAAAGGTAAATTAACATTGTCACTAAAGTACATGGGGGTCTTTGGCATGCATTTTGAGAATGCAAACAAAACCAGCAACAGGATTCAAAGACAGGCAAGAGGAGCAAGATCGTTGGACGAGACAGTGCCTGTAGTTGTCACGCCAACCTCTTCAACACTATCAAACGCAGGAAGCAACAAGCCACTTCAGAGGGCTAGAGTGCTGACGCTGGTAATTGCTACCAGGTCATTTTGTGGCTTCAGAGAAGTTTACTCTTTGTTTCAAACTTTCATTTACCGAGGAGAGAAAGGGGAAAGGAACCAACAGGCAGTGCGTGCCTGGTACGTCCTAGGGGTTCTATGGCGTTCTCCTGTAAACAGGGCAGGTGTACAGGTGGGCTGGGTTCTAACATCAGTCAACACCTAAGGCAAACACGGCCGTGCTGTGGGGAGGGAGGCATTGCCGTTTGTAAAAGCCCGGTCGGGGTAGGCCTCCTAGTGAAGGCGACATGGGAGCAATGACCTGAAGCAGCACGAGTGAGGCGGGAGCGTGCCCAGGGAGCTGGAGGAACGCCAGGAGCCAGTGAGGCCGCGGGGAGAGGTGGAGGTCAGAGGAAACCAGGCCCTGACGTGGAGGGCCTTGCGGGGCACGGTGAGGACTCCGGCTTTCACGCTGCATGAAATGAGGAGCCACTGGGGGATTGGAGCAGAGAGGTGACACGATGTGGCGTAGTAGCTTTTATCCAGTCTAATGTGCCAGCAATTATAAGACACACAATTATTTTAGGTATCACTGAGAGGGAACAATCACTGCCAATTAAATTAAGATGCATCTCAATTTCAGGGGTGTTAAAATATTTTTAAAATTTGCATCTTAAAAATGAGTGGCATACAGTATGTTTTAAAACTATCAGTCTGGCTGGAGTTGAGAACAGACCACAAGGGGCCAGAGCAGATTCAGGAGACCAGTGGGCCGGCTGCTGCAGTGACCCAGACAAGAGGTGTGGTGGCTTTGACCAGAGTGCTAAGAGTGGAGGTAATGAAAAGTGCTTACAGTCTGGATTAGATTGGAGGTAGAACCAATGCAATTTCCTGTCTGTCGGATATAGGGTGTAAATGAAAAAGGAGTCAAGGATAAGCCCGAGGTCTCTGGCCCCACTGAATGGAAAGATGGAGGAAGACTGTGGGTAGAGCTGGTTGGGCCAGAAGAGCAACAGTTCCAGTTTGGACACACTACACTTGCGTGCCTTTAATCATCTAAACGGAGATCTCATGTAGAGGGCTGAGTTCAGGAACGGATTCTGAGCTGGAGATATAAATGGGGAGTTGTTGGCCCTCAGTCCAATAGCCCTTGAGGAGCTGAATCCTGCCAAGAACCGTGTGAGTGAGCTTGGAAGCGATTCTTCTCCAGTGGAGCCTTTGGATGAGACCGCAGCTGCAGCCTTGATTGCAGCCTTGTGAGGAACCCAGAGCAGAGGACCCAGCTTAGCTGTGCCTGGATTGCTGGGCCACAGAAACTGTGACATACTAAATGAGTGTTGGTTTAAGCTGCTAGTTTGGGGGTTATTATGCAGCATTAGAAAACTAATACAGTGGTGTGTGACTGGATGAGAGCACCCTGGGAGTGCATGTAGATAGAGAAGAGTGCACCCTGGGGCACTCTGATGTTCACACATCAGGGAGCTGAGAAGGAACCAGCAGAGGAAACTGAGAAGCAGCCACCACTGAGATAGTAGGAGATGCAAGAGAGTCAAGCAAGTGTTCCAAGGAGGAGGGAGAGCCAGAGTTAGCCAAATGCTGTTGCTGAGTGCAGTGCCTGAGAGCTCAGCAGAGACGAGAGCCGGCTTGGTGAGGAGGGGATGGAAACCTGCCTGGAGTGGGGTTAAGAGAGAGTGGGAGGACAGGGAGAGGTAGGGCCAGGATTCAGAACCTGCTGGACTGACTCCAGCCTTGGCGTTCTTTACCATCATGCTACAGAGTGCACCTGCTGCCACACTCCTTGTTAGAAACGCAGACTCTTACGTAGTGGTGTGTGAGCTTCCTATGGCTGCTGTAACAAGTTACCACAAACTTAGTAGCTTAAAACAACACAAATTTATTATCTTATCATTCTAGGGATCAGAAGTCTGAAATGGGGGTCAAGGGGCTAAAATCAAGGTCTCAGCAGGGCTGCATTCCTTCTGGAAGCTCCAGGGCAAAACCCTTTCCTGGCCTTTTCCAGCTTCTAGAGGTCACCTGCATTCCTTGTCTCGTGGCCCCTCCTCCATCTTCAAAGCCGGCAATGGCTGACTGTGTCTTTCTCACCTGACATCACTCTGACACTGACCCTCCTGAATCTATTTCACTTATAAGGACCCTCATAATTACATTGGCCCACCTGGATAACACAGAATAATCTCCCCATCTCAAGATCCTTAACTTAATCACATCTGCAAAGTCCCTTCTGCCATGTAAGCTAACATAGTCACAGATTTAGGGGATTAGGATGGGGACATCTTTGGGGGGACGTTAGGCATCTTTGTGTTTAACATGAGTGGACTGTGGAGAAGCCCAGAAACCTGCATAGAACGGTTGACATTTTGAGAAGCACCTCAACCTGTTCTAACAGATTCCATAATCTTTAACAACTTCCCTGAGTAACAGGATATGAAAGTGCCAAGAAAACATTTTTGAAATGCAGTTCGTAGTCTGGCTGTGTGTCTGATTTTCCATGAAGAGTTTTCTTGGTGCTTTTCTTCTCATGACCAAATATTCATTTGAACCAGAGAAAGTTCACCTCCCATTTTTATCATCAACGAGGAAATATGCAAAGTGGGAGAGTACATGGATCTCTAAATATCTTAGGGTAATTTAAGGCAATTAAAGAATCAACCGGTAAATTAATTATGACATACACACCCTGAGAAAACAGGGCTGGTCATAATTATTTAATCAGTTGATGAGGTCATTAACTATTCTGCTTGCTTCTTGCATGCAAAACTCCTTTTGAAACGCTTCCACACAAGCCAAGGAAAATTCACACGCATGCATACACTCACAAAATAAATAAATGAAAAATAAGAACCAGCTGTGCATGGTCTGATATTTGCCTAAAATAACTTAAGACGCATAACCAGAGAGTTTTAGATGAATTACAGGTGTTTGTCTAATAATTTACCAGAAACGAAATTCTGGATTTTTCAAGGTCAGTATCATCAAGCGATGGACACTGTGCAAAGGTCTTAACTTGCATTATCTCACAGCAACCCTGCTGGGTATTTTGATCCCTATTTTTTTTCACACAGAAGCTGGAGTTCTGGCACATTTAGCAAGTTGTGCAAAATCTGAATTGTGGGAGGTCAGCTAACTGGCTAAAGTCACCCAATCTATTAAAGGGTTTGCTCTGGCTCAAACCCAGGTGTTCAGCTTCCAAGGTTAGGGGCTGTGTGCAAACCACAGCTGTCTCTAAAGGCCCTCACCCCCATTTGGGGAGCCTACATCAGAGGCGCAGTAGACTCACCTGGGGGCTTTCCAAACCACCGAGGCCCAGGTTCCCCCTCTCTCCCCAGAGACTGTAAATTAAGTGGTCTGGGGCCCAGGATTTGAATTCAGCTTCATTTAGATCCCTTGGAAGAATACAGAGTCAAGGTGATCCTGTGCTAATTTCCAAAGCTGCATTATTGTTGCTGGAAATGCAGCAAAGTTTTCCTGAGCATTTGCCATATCCCAGCCATTGGGCTTTGAGCAAGGGAATGTAAATATGAAAAGCAGGGTTGCTGTCCTCCAGGAACTTACAGCCAAATGCAAGAGACAGACAAGTTACCCATGACAGGGCAACATGATATGGCTGACAGAGGGCTGAAATCAACTAGAAGGAGCTCTAATAATTCAGGACGGGCAGGAAACTAGGCCCCATGCCTGCCCATGGCTGTGAATGGCCATGTGTTTGCAGAATGCTTTCCTTTATTTACTTGGTACTTTTGACAGCTTTTTTTAGTTGCTTTAGAAAACCTCTGCTCAATGCATCAATTGAATGCTCTTTTGTAACTAACTGAACACTTGACATAAAGAAACAGAGGGTGTTTCTTGTAACAAGCACCTAGGGGCGGGCAGTCCAGGGCTGGGACAGTAGCTCAACAACGCCACCAGGGACAGGGGGCAGTCCACCTCTCTGCCCCCATCCTGAGCACATCAGCCTCCGTTCTCCTGCATCCTGCCTCTAAGGCTGGGGTACCTCCAGGCCTCCTGTACAGGGAATACTGAAGAAAGGGATTTCTCCGAGCAACACTCGGCTTTTGTATCAGGAAAGGGAAGCTCTTTGCAGGGACCACCCTGTCTCATGGGCCAGAACTGTGCTACTCAGCCACCGCTAGATACCAGGAAATTGAATATGTTATTTTACAGCCTCCAGCATGCAGGAAAGCAAAAAGAGAAAGGAAATGCTGCATTTTAGTGCATGTCACATTTCGAAACCCCTACTTTATTTAATAGTTTTTAATTTTTAAAAAATAAAATTAATAGCAATAGTTTCCTATTGCTGCTGCAACACATTACCACAAACTCTGTGGCTTAAAACAACACAAATTTATCATCTTACAGTTCTGGAGGTCAGAAGTCTGAAATGGGTCTCACTGGGCTAAAATCAAGGCGTCAGGGAGCTGTGCTCTTTTCTGGAGGCTCTGGGGGGAATCTCTTCCTCCCCTTTTCTGCCTTCTAGAGGCTTCCTGCATTCCTTGGCTCATGGCCACATCACTCCAACTTCTGCTTATGTCATCAAATCTCCTTCTCTGACTCTGACCCTCCTCCTTCCCTCTCATAAGGAGCCTTGTGATTGCATTGGGCCCAACCAGATAATCCAGAATAATCTCCCCATTCCAAGATCCTTAATTTAATCACATCTGCAAAGACCCTTGTGCCGTGTTAGGTAACATCTTCAGTGCTGCTGGGAATTAGGATGTGGACATCTCTGGGGGCCATTAGTCTATCTATCACATATATACGTGGTTTTAATAAGGAAACTGACTTTCAATGAAAAACAGGGGTCCCATGTGTGCGCTGCCCCCCACCGAGTCTACTCCCCTGAGAACGACCTTCTGTCATTTATTTCTGTCGTTCTGAAGAACAGGCTTCACTGCTCTTTCTTGATGGATCAACTAAAGGCATTATCTACTGACTTCCTGTCCTGGGAGAGGAGGGCTCTGGTCTCTTCTCCCACCCACCTTGGAGGGCTGTTGTGGAAGTTTGGCAACCAGAATCTTGGTAAAGCATCTAGCATGGGCACTAGCAGATGCTCAGTGAACGAAATCTCTCATTATTCTCCATAAGTTTCAAAAACGTAGACTCTAGACCCAGTTTTACGAAATGCCCGCACCTGCTTCTCCTGCTCCAGGAGATCCTGGAAGAGTTTCCACTGCTGTTTCCGGAAGCGATCCGACTTGCCCAGCTGCCGGGCAGCATTCTCCTGGACCTCCTGCCTCAAGTAGTCACACTCTGCCCGGGAGAGGCCGGTCACGCCTGGGAGCGTCTGAAGGAACAGGACGTCCACAAACTTCTGGAACGTTTCCATGGTGCTGCGGTACAGCTCCTGAAGCCAAGAGCCGTGTGATGGAGTTACAAGTCATGTTCTCACACTGGGCAGGCCCGTGGGCTTCCCACAAGACAGAGGGAACCCAGGGAAGTCTCAGACCACACACACACAGACACAGACACACACACACACACACACACACACACAGTCCTGGGAAACACCTGCTGCCTTCCAGCCCTCTCACCCAGACATGCCCTTCTGACCCAGTGAGCCCTTGATTTCTGGCATCTCCTCTAAATCACCATCCAGATTGTTTCCACAACCCATCCATGGTCTCTCTGCTTCCCTCCACACATAGGCGAGTTATTTGCATAAACCACAGATCTGATTATAATTCCGGCTCAGATCACTTGGCGGTCTCTCTTCCCATCACATCAATTACCCAGCAGGGCTTCCAGGCAGTCCTGCCTCAGTTCTCACGATCCTGTTTCCTTCCTTCCACCTCCCCGACTCCAGTCTCTTTCTAAAAATGTATTTCTTTAAATTGTGAAAAATAAAAACCCATAGATAACAATATATTAAATGCCTGTGAATCCACCACTCAGATCTCCTTTTTGTTTTAGATTAAAAACACTCACCTTCCAAGTAAGTTAGAATCCTTTATGTTCTCCCTGCACATCTTTTCCCCTCCCTCCCAGCCTCCTCAGAGACAGCCATCCCCATGAATTCAGCATCTCTTTCTCCAGTTTAGATTTCTATACTTTCAATATATATATACTGTCCATCAATGTGCCTTTTGGTGTGTGTGTTAGTTCACACAGATGGCATCTCATTGCATGTTTCATTATGCAGATGCCTTTTTCAAGCCACTCTCCTTCGTTCCACCTCCAGGCACTTTCACACCTGAAATGGACTCATCTTCACCCTGCAAAACTCCTGCAAAATAATCCCTTCTCTGCAAAGCCTTCCCTGGGCTGTTCAGACTAACATTTCTGCCCCCTGGGCTCCCACAGCTCTTTGGTCAGCCCCACAAGGGCATGGAAACTACAGTTTATCTGTCATCCCTCCTGGACCACAGCTCCCTAAGAGCAGAGGCTGAGTCATACTCAGATCTGCACCCACATCTCGCATCCTCCCAGACCAAGCACCAGACTGCAGGCCCTGAATTCATCGTGCGCTGACATGACATAGAATGCCCATTCCCCCTTCTCTACCCAGGAACTCCCACACATGCTCCAAAACTCAATCAGGGTCTCCTCTTCCCGGAAGGCCTCCTGTCCACAAGGTTTAATTAGATGCAACATGGTTTACACTGAACATCTGCTTTCCTTCTGCCAATCGGGAAACTTGGTACATGCCAGGCAGAGGGTTCCCATGCGACTGACCCCCAATAAAAACCCTGGACTCCTAAGCCTGGGAGAGCTTCCCTGATGGACAACACTTCACACGAGCTGTCACAGCTCTTTGCAGGGAGGAATTAAGCATGTCCCGTGCACTCCACTGGGAGGGGATTCTGGAAGCCCCGTTTCTCCAGATTTCACCCCATGTGCCTTGTCCCTTTGCCGACTCTGCTTTGTATCCTTTGTAATAAATCTTAGCCACAGGCAGGACGACATGCTGAGTCCTGTGAGTCCTCCTAGTGACTCATCTAACCTGGGGTGGTCTCGGGGGCCCCTCCTTTGCTGCTACCCTTCCAGCACTTGCCCCCTTTGTGGTCACTGGCTGTTTGTCCTTCTCACAGATTAGACCATGAGGTTTCTCAAGGACAAGGGCTTATCTTACTACCTGAGCATCTTCAGAGCCTACAAAAGCACCTGGTAAATAATAATATTTGGTAATAATATTAGAATTGTTAATAATTATGAATTCTTACCATGTGCCTGAGAGTGTCATAAACACTTTTCTTATATAACCTCATTCAATCCTTATAACAGCCCAAGGAAGACGTTCTACTATAATTACCATTGTTTTACAGATGAGGAAACTATTGCCCAGAGAAGATAAGTAACTGGATGGGGTTTGCAGAGAGTGGGTCCTGGCTGTTGGACTACTGGACTCATGCTTTTAACCAGTATGCTGCAAGGATAATTGGGTTTTTGGAAGAAAAATGAACATATTCATAGCACCTAGTATGGTATACGTAGGTCATACTTGGTGTGCTCAATGAATCTAAGTTAAATTTAATTCAAATCAACGTTAACTAAATGCAATGAATGCCACACTTTAAGAAGCTCATATGGCCAAGTTGGACTTTGTTCAGAATAAAGTGATGATGACAAGGGCATAAGAGACCCACATCCTTTTAAAAGATTTAGAGATCCTATTGATGATGGCCAACCATGTAATTTGGACCAGTCCTCCCACTGAGGATGAAGGAAACAAAAAGTTGGACAAAATACTTATTAAATCATCATAAATCATCATAAAAGTTCCAAAGAGCTAACAAGGTAGTGAAGAGTGCATGGGCCAAGGTCCAGGAGAAGACATTCAGACAGGTGTGCCCAGCTTTGGGGTTGCGTTTATGTAGGGGGTTAGGTCAACCCAGAGATGGCCGCACAGCTGGGCGGACTTCCAACAGCCTCCAGCAGACAAAGGGACAGAAGGTGGACTTCACTGCTCACCATGGGGTGGGGCCTGGTAAACCATTCCACGCCTAGGGTCGGAACCCAAAAAGCTGCTCTAGCAAAACATGAGTGAAACGGAAGGAAACCAGCTCAGACTGGTTCAAACAGACTGCAACCTGGAGTCAATTCATAGGGGTGGCCCAGGACATGTCCAGTCCTGACCTTGGATTAAGGTGATCCTCAATCATCAGAGGCCCACTCATCTGGCAGAAGCAAAGGAAAATCCTCTTTGGAGGAGAACATCACAATATGCCTGAAAATCTTTCTACAAATAAATGTACAAGTTTGGAATAGGGCATACAATAAAAAATAAACAGGCATGTGAAGAGATAAGACTACATGGCTGAAGATCTACACAAACCATAGACATCAGAAACAAACCCACAGGTAGTCCAGAGACTGTAATTACATGACATGCACTTTAAAGTATTGATGCTTACTATGGCCATGAAATTAAAAGCCACTCTTAAACCTTAAAGTAAAGAGCTGGAAATTATAAAAAGTAACACCACTTAGTTAGAAAAGAATCAACCAGAACTTCTAGAATTGAAAAATACTGTCCAATATTATGAACTCAATGTATAAGTTTAATTGAAGTTTAGACGCAGCTGAAGAAAGAATTAGTGTGCTGGAAGACAGATCAGAAGAAAATCCAGAACAAAGTAAGGAGAGTCTAAAGGATGAAAATATGGAGAAAATAAAGCCATAAAAAGTACAATGAGAGAGCCAGCCCTGATGGCCTAGTGGTTAAAGTTCAACACTCTCACCACTTCAGTGGCCTGGGTTCGTTTCCTGGCTGTGGAACCACAACACCTGCCTGTCAGTTGCCATGCTGTGGCGGAGGCTCACGTAGATGAACTAGAAGGACTTACAACTAGGATATACAGCCATGCACTGGAGCTTTGGGGAGGAAAAGAAAAATAAAAGAGGGAGATTGGCAACAGATGTTAGCTCAGGGCGAATCTTTTCCTGTTAAAAAGAAAAAAAAAACAACAATAAGAAAGTCCAACATGTTTAATTGGAGTCCCCATAAAAGAGAAGGGAAAGTCCAGGCAGAAGCAATATCTGAAGCAATAGTGGCTGAGAAATTTCCGAAAACTGATGAAAGAAATTTACAGGTGAGGAAACAGAGGCTTCATCTGTGCATGTAAAAGAGACATGAAATAAACTGCATGAGTTTACATACGGGGCCTGGCAGTCAGGCTCCAGCACCCACGATCGTAGCCACGATGCTCGCAGGTACATTTTTTTCAAACGAATGAATGAATGAATGAATGAATGAAGGTACAACCAGCACCGAGTAAACACAGGGTCACTTTTTGCTACAATAAAGCAGATAAAATAGTCTTTAAGAAAGAAAGTATGACTAGAGATAAGGGGCTTCACTTCATAATGCTAAAAAGTTTAACTCACCAGAAAGATGTAAAGGTTCTAAGTTTGTATTCACTTAACAGCATTACCCAATTCAAGGCAATTTGCCAAATTAACAAAGTAGAGTAGAAAAATATCATGATGATTACCTGGATAGATGAAGAAAAAAGCATTTTATAAAATTTAATTTCCATGCATAAGTAACACTCTTAGCAAAACAGGAATGCAAGGAAACTCCCTTAATCTGAAAAAAACTATAGCAAGCATTATACCTAAGGGTGAAAACTATAAAACAATATTAAGAAAAATTAAACAAGGTATCAATAAATGTAGAGATATACCATGTTTCTGGATTGGAAGACTTGATACTATGAAGATGTCAATCCTCACCAAATTGATCCATAAATTTGAAATGCTAATCAATTTGGTGGATATATCAATAACTATATAGGATATGGGTTGAAGCTACATGTACTCTTTAACCCAACAATTCCGCTCCTTGGTATATACCCAAGAGAAACATGTGCACACGTGTTTCAAGCAGCATCTACAAGAAAGTTCACGTCAGCAGAGTGTGTAATACTCTAAAATAAGAAGCAACACAAAAGTCCGTCAACAGTAGAACGGATAAATGGTGGTGTATTTATACACTGGAATGCTATAGACCAATGAGAAGAATGAACCACTGCCACACGCAACAGCACAAATGAATCTCACAAGTTGACCAAAAGAAACCTGACACACAAGAGCACATGGTATATGATTCCATGTATAAAAAAGCAAGGACCTGATTTCCATATAACTCAGGATATGACCCCTATGAGTGAGGAGGGTATTGGGATTGGGAGGAGGTGTGAAGGGGTTTCAGGGGTCCTGGCCATGCTCTTTCTTGATCTGGGTGATGGTGACACAGATGTATTTTGAATAATCATTTATTAATCTGTAAGTTTACATGTTACCCATTTATTCATGTGTTGTTACATTTCACAATAAAAAATGGTTTAATAATATGGGAATGATTTACATTTTCTTCTGGCCTCTGGAAATATCAGTTTTCTGCTA